AGAATCTATGTTCAACAATAGTAAACTATTAAACAGAGAAACACTTGCCTAATAACCCCTGCTTTTGGTCTGCATAAGTAGCTGCTCTTTACCAGCAGAACACGTGGTCTCAGACCCTCTCTCCCTATTTAGTTCCTACCTCTAAGGTTTCTAACCCAGCCCCACAGCCACAGGAAATTATGTACATAAATATCATTAGCAGCACAGCCACTTACAAATACAGACAGTAGAAGGCAGAAGATCCCTACAAATTTGTTTAACTAATGACTGCTGAGTTGCATGCTGATGTAATTTTCAGGTAAAGGAGGGAAAGCTTTGTTTTAATCATGATACAAGATCTTTACTGAACTGACAAGCATTGAAAGCAGGTTGGAGTAGATCCTTCCATATGAAATGATGGTAGGCATAAAATAATTGTTAGGAAAATGTTAAGGTCTTACACAGCTCTTAAATTTCCTGAATTCTCAATGTGTGAAGTGCAACTGAACCCGATATACTAGGGTGTAAATTGAGATGAAGTGAACCTGTTTTCATTTTAGACATCCAGTTACGTGCAGGACATTAAAAAAAAAAAAAGAATCTTCTACCTCGCATGACTGCATGCTTGAAGTGCACACAATTTCACTTCATATTCATTTTGCACCTTAGCAAACCAAGTTCATTTTCACCTCACTGAACTGCAATTCTCACAATAGTGGTTTTATGAGTTTAATTCAATTGTTCTGTTCAGATTACATTCTGATTTTTTTTTCACCTTTTATATATGCAGTGCAGGCACATTCCAAAGAATAACAGATTGGTACATCTTTTTTTCATTATAGTTTAGTACCTAAGTAACCAATAGAGTATTGCATAGATGAGTATTGCAGTCTTAATAGTGAAGCGTGATAGATATAGTACTGTTTCTGAGCAGGTAGAAGTGTTGAGATACATCGTAGATATTATGGGTGTTGAAGCCTGGAATGCACACTTGCATGATTTATAGATTTTGTTTGCTAGTTACTGATCCATGTTGCCATTAGGGATGAGCAAAGTGATTTTTACAGAAATTTTAGAAAAGCGGAAACTGGAATTAGCCATCCACCCTATAGCAAAAGTACTGCTACAGGGCAGCACGGCTGTGCAAAATCACGTATATATACATCATTTTCATTACAGGGTAGGTGATTGTCGGCAAAGCTGATAGGGGAGAGACCTGTGTGTAAACAGGACATGCAAAGCAGAGAGATACAAAGCAGCATGTCTCCCAAGTAAAACAGCACACAGTTAACCCTTTGATCGCCCCAGATGTTAATCCCTTCCTGCCCAGTGTCATTAGTACAGTGCTTTTTATTAGCACTGCTCACTGTGTTAGTGTCATTGGGATGTCAACGGCAGTTACTCAGTTCCCATCCAGTGTCAGAATGCCTGCCGCAGTCCAACAGTCCCACTATAAGTCACCGATCGCTGCCATTACTAATATAAAAAAATTTTAAATTACAGTATATATATATATATTCATATATATATATATATATATATACCACCATTTGTAGATGCTGTGACTTTCACAAAAACAATTAATAAAAAATTATTGGGATTATTTTAGCAAAACATGTAGCAGAATAAATCTTGGCCTAAATGTCTGAAAAATTTCGATTTTTAAAAATTTTTTTATTGGATATGTTTTATATATATTAAAAAGTCAAACATGTTAAAAGTCAAACATATTGTTTTTTTAATTCAAAATTGTTGATCTTTTTTGTTTATAGCACAAAAAATAAAACCCAAAGAGGTGATCAAATACCACCAAAAGAAATCTCTATTGGTGGGGAAAAAAGGACATAAAAATTCATTTGGGCGCAGCGATGCATGACCGCGCAATTGTCAGTTAAAGTAACGCAGCACCATATCGCAAAAAATGGCCTGGTCAGGAAGGGGGGGTAAATACTCTGGAGGGCAAGTGGTTAAGCTGCTTAGGTGAAATTTTGATTGAAAAAAAATCTACTCTTTTTTTTAGGTTCATTTAGGCTAGCTTAGTTTACAGGTGTGTTTTACAAGACTCACTTTTTTTCTGAAAATTAGTTTGTTCTGCTTTTTATGGAATTTGTTCATTATTTTCAGAGGATTCACCCATACATTATTACCCTATTTACCCTTGATAACTCCTAAAACCACCTTATTTTTACCTTTCCTGTTGACTTGAAAGCATTTTGGTAAAATAGCAAATTTTCAATAAAGTATTAAAGAAGTGAAATGTCTCAACATGTTCATACCTAGTCATATTTTATGGAAAGTGCCCAGCCATTTTAAACCAATTTCTGACCCCAATGTCCCACTGCATGTAGTTTTATGTTTTTGTATGCTAACATTTCTGATGTCTGTAAATCTGTCATGAGACACTCCTTTTCCACCTTCTTTGGCATGTGATGACATCAATGCATTTATTTACATCATTACACTGTGATGCAAGATGACTTGCTTCAGTCACAGGTTGTTGCGTGTTATTAAATCCAAAAGCCTAAGGACATCAGGTTGTAAAACAGGAGTTCAAACATCTGGTGGGGGCTTAATGGAGATAGAAAGTGTAGCAGAGCACGTCAGTGGAGGATGCTGTGGAAGAATGGCAGCCAGTGGTGGATGGTGTATAGGAAAAACTGGTACTGAGCAGCACTTCTAAGAGTGGAAGCAAACTCTGTGTGGAGGAAGATGAGACAGGAAGGCGCTTCTAAGTGCAGTATTCCAAGGTCAACTTTAATAAAAATGGTTAAAATCACTAACAGTGTAGCAGTATAAAAACAGGCTCTTAGTAATCCGTCATTGGTGGGGCTCTGTCCACTAAGCAATGGATACACCTTGCCAGCCAGCAGCTGCAGGGGGAGCTTGAGATGGGATGTCAAAGATGGCCGCCGCTCTTCCCAGACTGCTGGAGCGCACACTGGAATGCACGCTGTGCACGGACCGGAAGTGACATGAGCATGGACCGGTGATGCATTATGGGGCATGCACAGAGCTCCTTCTTCAAGACTGATTCGGTCTTGAAGAAGGAACTCTGCGCATGCTCCGAAACACATCACCGCTCCATGCTCACGTCACTTCCGGTCCGTGTGCAGCGTGCATTCCAGCGTGCGCTCCAGCAGTCTGGGAACAGCGGTGGCCATCTTTGACATTCCATCTCAAGCTCCCCCTGCAGCTGCTGGCTGGCACAGCGGATCCATTACTTAGTAGACAGAGCCCCGCCAATGACGGATTACTAAGAGCCTGTTTTATACTGCTATACTGTAAGTGTTTTTAACCGCTTTTATTAAAGTTAACCTTGAAATACTGCACTTAGAAGCGCCTTCCTGTCTCATCTTCCTCCACACAGGGCTTAATGAGGATGGAGACTTAAAAGAATAAGCTAAGAGTCAGTTTTTAATTGTCGAGTGTCGGTTAGGACACTGGTCACATGTACACTAATTATTCCCACAGGGAAATCACGTGTTGCACTGTTTATATTGTACCCCTTGTGTGCACTGGGGGGGTTTTGTATTTATTTGTGGGTATATATTTATCTTTAGCGCTGCACTGTTTTATATATTTAGTCACTTCACTCATTTGGGTAAAAAGGATAGTGCCAGCAGCTTGAGAGTTGGGACCCCATTTTGAGCGCAGGAGGATCTTTTGTCATTTCAGACTCTCCTATCCCTACCACAGTGCTGCTGCTGACAGACTCACCAGGAGACTCCTCTGTACCCAGCAGTCCTCTTAAACCAGCACCCACAGAGGATCAGGATTTTGCCAGCTCATACATGCCCTTCCTACCAAGGGAGATATCCAGCATATGCTCGAGCAGCTTACTGGGGCCTTGCAGGGAGACACTGGCTGACAGCTATGGAAACCCAGCATAAGGACTCTGCATCCCGCATTTCCGCCATTGAAGAGCTGCTACATCACCAACACTTGCAGCTACAACAGGAGGATGCAGAGAACGTGAGCAGAAGGAACAACATAAGGCTCCAGGGCATTCCGGAGGCCACTACAAGGGCGATCTGCGAACAACGGTAGCAGGTATTTTCAATTTACTATTGAGAAACACCGAAGACACACACATTGAGCTGGACTATGTACAGAGTCCCTGCCACTATCAACCCTTCACAATTCAAACTGTGGGACATGCTCTGCAGGGTACACTTCTATACCATTAAATAAGACATCTTACGAGCTGCATGGGAAAGAGGCCCTCTAGATTTTGATGGTGCCACAGTACCCCCCAAATGCTATATCACCGTCGCCTGATGAGACCTCTGCTTGACCATCTGAGAGCCCAAGGTGCTACATACAGATAGGGCTTTCCCCTGTCCCTCATGGTCAAGAAGGACAATCATGACTTTCATCTCCAACCTCCAGCACAACTTCAGCAACTGTTAAAATTCCTGAATTGTGATGCCAGGGCAGTTCCTGACTGGTTAGATTTACTGGAGCTGCGGGAAGCCTATCCAGGATCTCATCTGAGGCCCCAGAGGCAGCAGCACTCCTGTTCCAGCTGCCCATGATCTTCTTTGGCTCACCCAGATCCAGAAGTCAGGGAAGATTGACCAACTACAATGCTCATTGTTTATGTAAGACCTTAGCCTTGTGAACCTGTTCAATTATTCCATTCCTGCCTTATTAGGCCCAGGCCTTGGAGATGACTCCCCTATCCAGGGCAAAGATGTTAAACTGTTGACTGGCCATTTTTTACATAGACAGTCTCTGGCACATCTTTCTGGAGACTTGTCACTTTGCTTTTGATGGGGCTGTGATCCCCTGCCTTTACTATACATGTATGCCTTTACCTTTACGGAACTGCGCTTGGTTCCTATTTTACTACTGGACGTTTTCCTTCTACCTATATGATTTCCAACCTGGTATTTGACATTTAAGTGTCTATTATGTTATATGCAGTCCAATTCTTTATTCCTGCCTCAAGACCAGGGGAGCTGGTGACCTTCATTTGCTACACCTCCTTTGATAGAGATGCAGGGGCGGACTGACAACTCATGGGGCCCCCGGGCAATAGGGGATCATAGGGCCCTGTGTCCTTGCCCAAACTCAAAAAAGCCTATGAAAAAGGTACCAGGGGCATCTCATGGGGCCACCTACTGACCCCGGGCCCTCGGGCAGTGCCCGAGTTTCCAAATGGTCAGTCCGCCCCTGGAGAGATGTTATAGTGAGCTCTGGTAGAGAGTTGTACTCCATGCATGTTTTTTTTTTATAGCATTAATATTCATTGTTCATAGATTTTTCTTTTTTTCAGATTAGAAGTTGCCTCCTTGGTGAATTAAGCATACTATGAAGGGCTATTTTGCATTGATATTTACTGGAGGAGGAGGGTATAGTTTGCTAACTACTTCATGCACACCATGCAGCAAGCGGTCACCCTGGCCGCTCTTTGCCCCTTGCATTCATAGCAATATCCATGTTGGACTCCCATCAGATGCGGGGGCGATGTTGGAGCACTTTTTGAATTTACACCCTTCAGGTACCAAACACCCTTGAAGCGGTCTGGGGAAACTCTTATGCATTGTCTGTACCCTCTCTCTTCACCCTTCTTCCACCCCTTCACACCCCTTCTTCCTTTCCTCATCCCTTCCCTCACTCTCCCATGCTCCCCCACCCCCCTTCTCCCTTCAGAGACTCTTCCATCTACAGGATAACAGGGTAATAATGAGTAGGTTTTACTTTTGTATCTTGCACTGTAGAGGGTCAGGTATCTATCTGACTACTGTATTCAGAGATGGGCCAGCGGGCTACTGAATTGCCAATTGCATTTTGTTGACTATTCCCTCCGTGTATTTAGCACATCTCAGTACACTGTCCTAGCTGAACACTTCCCCACTACAAATAATTTTCCCCCACATGGGTGCTTGGTTAGGGGCATTTACAAACACCAGGTCCCCTGCAGGCAAGACCCATGTGTCGCAACCTGCCTGTTTCTCCTCCTTTTACTCTCAACTTTTAGGTCTTCTTTCTTTTTCCTTTTTATTGCCCTTTTTTGGGCATTGTTGCCCAGGTACTAGTTTCTTCACCTTACTCTTCTCTCCCTACTCCCCCCATTTTTTTTTCTCCTTGCTCCTCCCACCTTTTCTCATGGCTGTAGTCCAACATGCCTAAAGTAACGTTCACATCCTACAATGTGAAAGGACTGAACAGTCCAGAGAAAGGTGCCAAACTATTGGGCTTTAGCATTTTAAGTCACAGGTCATTTTCCTCCAGGAGACACACTTCTGCAGAGATAAGGTTCCAAAATTGGGGTCCCTACGGCAGTGTCAAACTGGTGGCCCTCCAGTTGTTGTGGAAATACAAGTCCCATGAGGCATTGCAGGGCTGACAGTTACAAGCATGCCTCCCAAAGGCAGAGGCATGATGGGACTTGTAGTACCGCAACAGCTGGAGGGATGCCAGTTTGACACCCTTGCCCTACAGTATACCATAGCACCTCCCTGTCCTCTAAATCTAAAGGAGTAACTATCCTCCGCTCTAAACAGGTACCGAACAGATTGTTACTGATGAAGATGGACAATTTCTTTTTAGTAAGGGAGATTTGTGTGGGCATAAAGTCACTCTAGTCAACATGCATTTGCTGAATGAGGATCTGTTTTTTTCCCTAGTGACCTACCTCTCTCTGGTGGACCAACACTGTGAAGGTATGCTAATAGTGGGGGGAGACTGTAATTTTGCACTAGATCAGCTGTTAGATATACTGTATCTAGGGGGGCTTCTCATTTCCCCTTTTCTAAGTTACGCAAAACCAGAATGTTGCTCCACAAATTTCAGTTAGTTGATGGAGGATGCTTCATTCTCATGACAGAGACTTTTCTATTCAGTGAAATATAAGACTTATGCTAGGATTGACTACATATTTGTCATAAGATCCAGCCCTCTGTCCAAGCTACTGTCCCATATCATTGCTAAATGTGGATCTAAAAATATTCACAAAAATTTTAGCCTCCAGAACACTGCAATTTATTCCCTCACTGATACACCCAGACCAATCTGGATTTTCCCCAGATAGAGAATGTAGGGACAATATGCAGCACGTTCTCAACGCAATACATTAATTCCACATGATACATGCACCCTTGGTGCTTTTCTCCACAGACACAGAGAAGGCATTTGACAGGGTTGCATGGCCATTACGTAAGGCCACCCTGGACCATATCGGCATGAGTGTGTAGAGTTGTTGTAATGGATCTCGGTGCTGTACTCAACTCTATCTGCATGGGTCAAGGTCAATGAGGCACTCTCTGATGCATTTCCTATTCGTAATGGGACTCGGCAGAGGTGTTCCCTATCTCTTCTGATTTTTGTTTTAACGATGGAACCCTTCCTGAGGACCATCAGAGCTCATCCAGATATTAGGGGCATCTCTGTTAACCCCCCTGACTGTATTCCCGAGTGTAGCTCGGGGTTAACTTTAAGTACCAGAAGCGGTAACCCCGAGCTACACTCGGGATTACACTGCAGCGTTGCTCAGGGATTCCCTCCAGCACTTACCTTGTCCTGCGCTCCCGCGATATCCCCCCTGCAGCATCCCTGACCAGGTCCTCTGGCCGTGGCCAGCAACCGTCTTCCGGGTTCCATTCCCTGCGAGCATCGGGTTGTACGGGACATACGGAGGACGGAACCGGCGGGAATTTAAAAAATTTGACATTCACTCAATACACTGAAATCTGATAGTATTACATCAATGTATCAAACGATTTCACATACATTTTGTCCGGAGTGCTTTGTCCAGCCCTCCCTGCATTTTTACCGTTCTTTTTGCCTAGAAACTGAGAAACGTCCATGGCATCCAAAAAGCGTCCCTTTAGGTCAAAAGCGGTTTTAGACCAGCTAGAGAACAGCAATCGTGAATTAGAACCACTTGCAGAAATGAGCGATAGCGATTCGTGGGTAAATTCATCATCAGACACTGAAAACGATTTTGCGACTGAGCTCAGAGATGTGCGAACTTGGCGCTCTATTTCAAATTTCAGTGTTTTTGGTTTGATTACATTATTGAATTAAATTTATTATTATATTATTATTTTTTATGATTATTTATTATATTATAATTTATGATTTAATGTTTCAAATTTTAACATACCCGGCATGTTTACTAGACTCTTGTTCGGGCAGATTTCAGTGAGTTATTCCTAAGAATTACAGGCCTGCAATTAAAAAAGAACATATTTCCATTGAAAACAATGTACCGCTTTGAGCACAGAAATATTGACATTATCAGAGCGCCAGGGAGGTTAAAGGAGCAGAACACAAACTGGTCTCCTAAGCTGATGATCTGATCTTTTTTGTGACCTCCCCAGCCATGTCTTTGCCATCCCTGCTGAAAAACTTTGCCGCTTTCAAATTTTAAGATAAATTACTCTAAATTGGAAGCCCTGGGTATTCCTATTTACCACTCTTTTCAGCAGCAGATAGCATCTCAGTTCCACTTCTAGTGGACTGCATCTCATATAAGATATCTGGGAACAAATATTCCTGGGGACCTAAGAAGAACATTCAAACTGAAAGTGATAATAAACCCAGGAGCCTGCATTCACTATATCTGGTCTCCCACAGTACACAGAACATAGAAATTTTAGTAAATATAAACTGCTAAATATCTTTTCTCATCAGAGCAGTCTTCTGACTTCAGCAGAGCACTGGTTAAAGCTTGTAGGAGGAGTTTTATTTCTGCTCTAGGAGGATGTGAAACCCCCTGACCCTCTGTCTGGACAGTGCTGATTGGCCCTGTGCTGAGCATATGCACTCTGCCAAGAAAAAAAAAAACCCTCTCTAGCAATACACACCAAACTGAGCATGTGTATGTGTCTACGGATTCAGTCTGTATCAGGTGGTCATTTCAACAAGAGGAGGGGCAGAAAAGAAAGGATCAAACAACCTTTTTACAAAATGCAGAGGATTAACCCATTAGGTTCCACAGTGAGTAGTATAATGAGCATTCTTTACTGTATATACAGACTGATTTTGCTGTTGTGGGTTTAGTAACACTGTAACTTTGCCCCTCTGGCACAGAAAATCTAATTCAATCTAATTCAACAATGGGACAAAGAAGTATTTACTTGGTGCGGACATATTACCTTAATAAAAATTAATATTATGCCCAGGCTTAATCGACTTCAAGCCCTTTCGCTAAAACTCCCATCCAAATTTTTAAAGGGGTTGCTTTCCTCTTTTTCTTAACTTTGTTTAGGCAGGCAAACCGACACAAATCCTGAGATCCATTATTTCCCTACCCAAGGCTAGGGAAGGAGTGGGATCCCCAATCCTGTTAAATACCCGGAATCTTCACACCTAGCAAGGGTGGTCGACTGGTGCGTTACACAAGAGGCAAAGTTATGGGTGCATCTGGAACAGATATCTATCGATCTGCCCCTGACTGATTTCCCATGGCACCTGACTGACCCTCTACTAACACTAATTAGAAAACATGCACTAGTGGGTGCCTCTCTTCAGGTAACCAAGGCAGTTTTCAAAACCACACTATCTTCTTATAGCGAAGCCCTATGACACCTATAATAGGCACAACTGGGTTTCAGCCTCGGAATCAGGACCCATGCTTCAATTCTCTTTGACAGAAAGGTCTGTTACACTTTTCCAGAAACCATCACCTGATGTCGACTAATGAGATAGAGGCCTTCTAATTTAATATAGATTTTCTCAGGAGGGCACAACTGAGTGCATACTTGCACTCTCTCTCTGCCAAGAGTTTTGCACCTTGCAGGAACCATCCTCATTCAAGCATACATGTCTGGCAGGAGAACCCTACGGAATTTGCTTTCTCATCTATATGCCTCCCTGATAGCTTTGCATGCACCATAAAACTCTCCTCTTCCTATAATACTGGGAATGGAACCTAAACACAACTTTCTCTCAAAAACAGAAGGAAACAGACAGAACTTTGCTCTTTGCCTATAAGGCCTCATTGGCCAGTAGGTACCAGGAGGGAGTGTACAAACGTCTTACCAGATGGAACAGGACACCAGAGTCGCTACATGGTGTGTTTCCTCAGGTCCCGAATACTTGCTAGCAGTACATGAATTCTGTAGGGGCTTTACTTTACATTTTTTGGGAGCGCCCCAAGTTGAGGGATTTCTGGACTTGGAGGAAACCCTGCAGCATTTCTCTTATATGATACACCCCTTTCAAACAAACAATACAAAAATT